AAAGAAAGATAGGAAAAAACTAATAAAAAAGTTTTATGCTAATTAATCATATGAATATTCATAAAAACCCATGTTAAGTTTATATTAACATATACTAGGTTGGAAAATTGAACATTTAAAAAAAAAAAAAAAAAAAAGAGAGAGAAAGAATCCTAAAACTTTTAATTGTGAAGATATAACATTAATTTTTTTTTATTAAAATAAAGAAAAATATTAAGAAAAAGTAAAAAAAAAAAAAAAAAAATGAGTAGGAGAAATAAAATAATAGAGATATCAGAAAAAAAAAATGTAAATAAGGAAATAAAAAAAATAACTCATATACAGAAGAAAATATATAATTGTTTTAATGAGCATTTATTTGATAAAAGTGAAGAGCACATTAAAGGAAAAAAAAAAATATTTTTTAATAAAAAAAAAAGAAAGAAAAAAAAAAAAAAAAGGGATGATACAGAAAATAAAGAAGATTTAATTGTTAATAATTTATTAAACAAAAAAAAGAAACACGAATATAATAAGTTTGAAAATAATTTGTATAAAAGAATAAAGCGATTAAATGATAATGACATAATTAAACAATATTCGAGAAAAAAAGGATTTAATTCTTTTTTCAATTATAGACATGAAAAAAACAGATGGATGAATAAAGAAGATAAAAATATTTTAATTAATTATATAGATGAATTAAAGAGAATATATTTATGTAAAAATAATAATTATGATAGTATAATAAAAGAAATAAAAAAAAATACTTATTTTTATAAAATATCGGAAAAAATGAATGATAGTAATATATATAATGATAAACATATTTTAAATACTTTTAAAAGTCAGTTTATTAGTAGTTCTTTAATAAAAGTATTCAATAATATTGGAAGAGAAATAGTATACCTTATACATTTAATGAAACCAACTTCTAATGAAATATTAATAAGAAAACAAATATTAAAAAACATAGAAAATTTTCTTAAAATGATTTTTCCCACATTTTTTATGGTAGTATTCGGTTCATGTAACACAGACTTAGATATATACAGTTCAGATATAGATATATGTATATATAATGATTGTGAATCTAATAGAGATAATATTCAAACGTTATATAATCAAATGAGAAAGGATAAACTATTTAAAAATACTATTATAAAAAAAATATTACATGCTCGTGTACCAATAGTGAAATGCTTTTTTAAAGAATTTCAATTATCCATTGATATTTCTTTTAATCAATTAAGTGCGTTGACAAGCACTATAAAAACACAAAATTATATAAAAAATAATTCATTAATAAAATATTTGATAATTTTTTTAAAAATTTTTTTGTCACAAAATGATTTAAATGATGCATCGAAAGGGGGGATTAGTTCTTTTAATGTTTTATTAATATTGACTAAATTTTTAAATGAACATAAATTTATTTTCTATAAAAAAAACACTTTTTTATATATAGGAGAAGTTGTACATAAATTTATATCCCATTTTTCTTTATTTAAAGATAAAGCAAGTTTGCTCCTTTTTTTAAATAATTTTGAAGAATACGATTTTTCAAAACCTGACGGTTTAAGCAAAAAAAGTTTTTATGTATATAAAAAAAATCTCTATTTAAATGATTTATTTGATGATATATTTTGCACGTTAGAAATAATTAATCCATTAGAAAATGAAAAATTAACAAAATTAACATTTGATAAAGTTTTTAAAGTTCGCATATGTTTTAAGGATGCTCTTTTTTCCATATCTAATTTTTTTTTAAAATATGTAAAAAAATATGGTAAGTATTATTATTTAAAATATAGTAATATTTTTAAAAATTATTTTGAGAGTATTTCTTTTCTAAATTATTTAGGAGATCAATATATAAATGAAAATTTAAAAAAATATTATCAATTTGTTGAATATAATATTAAAAATATTGATAAACTAATTGAAAATCAGGATAATTATAATAATAATAATAATAATAATAATAATAATAATAATAATAATAATGAATTATCTGATAAAAAAAATAAAAAAAACTATTCTTTTTCCAAATGTAATGATGATAATAATAGTAATAATAGTTACAATAGCAATCAAGAGGATACCTATAAGTCTCACATTTTTTTAAATGAAAACAAAACAGACAATAAAAATAAAGATGATAGAGTCAATTATAAAAATGAAAATCTTCACAATTTTTATAGTTCTTTAAATGAATTATCAATAAATACATTAATATCTTTTTTTCATAAAATTTTTAAGGAAGGTATTAATGTAAACGATTCATCTATGGAAAAAAATGAAATTCATGAGTCAAATAAATCAGATAAAAATGAGAAAATCATGAAAAATGATTTTGCAAATATGATAAAACATAAGAATAACAAGGAATATAAAATTAATAAGAATGATACATATACTGATGAAAAAATGATAGGTAAACATAAAGATAGAATAGATAAAAAGATTACAAAGGTTGATACAGTAAATATATATAATTCTGATATTAAAAAAAAAATGAATTATACTCTAAAAGCAGATAAAGAAAATTTAAAAAAAACTATTATTTTTAAAGATAGATTGGATAAAAATATAAATGACTGTGAAAATACCAAACAAAGAGAATGTTGCGAAAATATTTCTAATAATAACAATTATTTAGACATTATACTCTCAAACAAAAATAGCAAAAAATGTATTTACAACATAGAAAAACTTAGAAAAGATATTGATTGTTACAATCCTGAAAAATTAAAAAGTATAATTAATAATATTTATAAATTATTTGATAGCAATAATGAAAAAGAAAATGAATATGTTGTTAGTCTTTGTAAAAATTTTAAAGCTTTAAGATATATTTTGAAAGTTAATAAATTAATATATGACAGATTTAAATATTATTGCATCTTTAAAGGTATGTATAAAGATACAGAAAATACACACATAAATGATAATCAATTGATAGAAAAATTAAAAAAAGAAATGTTAGTAAATTTATTAAATATGAAAAATTACGATACACATGATTTAATACATTTAGAAATAAACAATGATGTTTTTATAAATGGGCATATATCAAATATTAATAAAAATTTTCTATAAATATAAACATAAATAAATAATGGATATCATAAATATTAGTTTTTTTTATTTGTAGCTTCAAAATTATTAATTTTAAAATTGATATATATAATAATTTTTTTTTATTATGTATAAAATTATTTATTTGAAAATAATAAAAAAAAATAAAAAAAAAAAAAAAAAAAAATTTAATATGAAAAAAATACATATATTCCAATTTATTTATCTTTTAAATAATTTTCATAACCATAAATATTATTATTTATTTATTTTATTTTATTTTATTTTATTTTATTTTTTTTATTATTTTTTTTTTTATAATTAATAATGTCATTTATTTTTTTTTTTTTTTTTAATGTTGTCAACAATCATAATTAGTTTTATTTTTATTATTATTGTCTTTATTGTTTTTTATTAGCTTAGTATCATATGTTTTCAATTAAAATATATCTCTCCTTTAAACTAACTATTATTTTATCAATAAAAGCAGTTACATTAGATATTTTTTTGTAGCTTTTTTTTTTTTTGTCCATCTTATATTCTGTTATGTTATGATGATTATTTTTTTCAATATGTAAGTTATTTGTATTAAAATAATTATAACTGATAAGAGAATTAGAAGCTTTTTCAACGTAATATTCTTTTTTGGTATAATTTTTGTTTTCGTAAAATTTTAAATAAGGAAAAATAAAATGAAATATCTTTATGTTATTGCTAGATGATTCCGAACTTTTTACATATTCTAAAATTGAAAAAATAAAAGAATATATAAATGAATAAATAGCAGGTCGTTTACTTTTGTGTACAATATTATGAACATACGGAAGAGAAAAATTTAATGAACAAATATTATGCAATTTGCATATATCGAGTATTTTAAATAATGAAAAGAGAATTATTTTAAAACTTTTTTTATTTATGTTTTTTGGAATTATTACGTGAAAAATAACATCTATATGTATATTTTTTTTTTTGTTGTTTTTTAAAAATTTTTTATAAAATGTGCATTTGTTTTTGTAATTTGTATTTGAATTAAATACATTCTTTTCAGTAATAATATCACTATTTTTTCTAAGCATTTGAGAGATAGAAATTTGAGATATATTATTATTTTCACTTAAATTAACATTATTTTCATTTTTGCTATTAAATTCAGCATTATTTATGTTATTTTGTTTTTCCTTTTTTTTATTCATATTCATTTCATTTTTTTCTTTGTTTGATATTTCATTCATTGCTATTTTTAGATTCGTATGCCTTGTTATAATGATATTCCCAAAGCTAAAATAAGAACCTTTTTTATTAACACTAGAAATATTTTTTTCATCAGAATTTTCTATTACATTTTTACTTTTCATATTAGATGAATAATTATATGAATTATTGATTTTAAAATCATTAAAAATATTTAATTGTTCTTTTAAATTAGGAAAAATAAAATCTGTTTTTGTTATACTAATATTAAAAAGATTTTTGTAAACATTTTCATTATGAAAATTAAAATCTTCATTAATATATAGGATAAGAGCATTTAATTTTTTGTCTTTTATACATAGTTTGTTTGTATTTATATTGGTATGTTCTCTATTTGAAGTTTTATTTTTTAAAAATCGAATAGAATTTTCCTTTAAAAATTTATAAGTACTACAATAGCTTATGTTAAAAAAGTTTTTTTCTTCTTTTAAATTTCTATATTTAAAGTTTCCTTTTTCATCAAAATATTTTGAATCTTGGTATTTTGAATAAGTATCATCATTTTTTTCTTCCTGACTTGTTATAACTTGTGTATCCTTTTTTTTTAAATTCCAATTTTTTTTTTTATCATCATTTAAAATATTTAATTTCCCTTTAGAATAATTTCTTTCATTTAAGTTTTTCTTGTTGTCTTTCATGTTAACGGAAGAAATCTCTTTTTCGCAAATTTTATTTTTATAATTATAAACATAATGAATGTTATAAGTACTGTTTAATGTATTTAAAAATTTTTTTTTAAATTCAATGTTGTTTTTATCACCTCGTTCAAATATGTTAAAAATTTCACCTAAACTAAATATTACAGAAATGTTCAATACATCATATAGAGAATTTTTAATATGGAAATATAAATAACTGTAAAGATTCATTCTGCTTTTAATTAATTTATATAAATAAAAAAAATTGAAGGAATTCATTATATATTTATAATTTTTTTCATCTAGGATGTTTTTTGTATTTCCTACTTCATTAGGAAAATTTTTGTTAAGTTTCTTTTCTTTTTCCTTTTCTTCTATAGGTAAAGGGGGTAATGACAAAATATTTTCATTATTATCAATAATATTAAAAATATAAAATATGTTTTGTTTATATTCTTGTAGATTTACTTGTTGCATTATGTTCAATTCATGTTCAATATGTCTATTTAAAGCTTTTTTTTCAGCTATATGCTTATATACCATATTGTTAATTTTTTGTTGATAGTCTTTATTTTTTTTATTTATTTTATTTTCATTTATAATATTTTCCATTTCATTATTATGAGTAATTGATAATTCTTCTCTTTTTTTATTAAGCATTTTTAAATTTTCATAATGCTTTTCATTCATACGTTTAAATAAATTATAAATATTTTTATAAATATCTATGTAAATATTTTTTTCATCTGTACCAATCCTTCTATTACATTTTATATGTAATTCAGTTAAGTATTTCCAATAATATACATGAGCATATAAATTTTTCAATTCTTTAATTAAATTTTTTTTTTTTATATTAATATCTTCTTGTATACAGAACATATCATTTCTTTCTAATAATTTCTCTTCTAGAAAAAATAACTCCCTTTCTCTATTTATATAATTAATGGGTTCAATATGATCAATTAAATTTTTATTAAAATCTTTATATTCTCTATATTGGGAATTATTTCTATCATTATAAATGTTACTTTCATAGTGATTATTATATTTAAGGTATGTATTATTGTGAAAAGGATAATTTTCATAATAGCTATTTTTTTTTAAAATGCTATTAATATGTTTGTCTTCATTTGTAAACCTTAGATACTGTTGTTTTTCTCTTAAATTATTTGTATTTTTTTTAAATGAGTTCCTATCATACTTAATGTGATTTTCATTTTCAAGTCCCAATTTGTCATTATAATACAAACTTACTGAAAACTTTTTTTTTCTCTTTATTTTGACATTTTTTAAGCATTTTATATTAAAGTCATAAAAAATATCGAAGAGAATAGAATTATGTAAATCTAATTCAGAAAAAAAAAAGTTAAAATAGGAAAAAATTATATAATTAAAAATTATAAAATATTCATCGCAAAAATTAAGTTTTTTTTTTTCATATTTTTTTAATATGTTATTGTAAGTTTTAATTAATACTAATATTAAATCATCATCAAAGTTGTGAAACATTAAATTCATATAAAAAACAGCTATATTTCTATTAATATTTCTATAAAATTTAAATGTTTTTTTTAAAAGAACTTTTCGCAAATCAATCATTTTTTTTTTTTTTTCTTTTAAATATATATATCTTTATATTAAAGACAATAATTTTCCTTAATATGAAGATTAATTGTACAAATTAAAAAAAAAATAAACAAATAAAAAAAATAAATAAAATGAAATGAATGAGTATTCTTTTTCTTTAGACAAAAAAGTAACAACTAAAAAAAAATTTTTTTTTTTTTTTTTATTATTAGCAAATTAAAAAAAAAAAAAAAATAATATTGTTATTAGATACAACAAAAATATTTTCTTTTTATAAATTGATTCTTAAATATATTTTAGTATAATAAAACAGACATATTTAGTAACTCACAAAAATTATATAATAATCATTAAATTGTTTAATTACAAAATACCAAATAGTTTATTAACCCTTATTTATTTTCTTTATATATATATATATATATAATATTTTAATAATTTAATTTAATTTTTTTTTTTTTTTTTTAAATTATTTAGTTTTTATAGTTGAATTTTTCTCTTTTACTTAATAATTTTTTTTTAATAAAAAAATTATTTCCACTTATGTGCAATTACATAAGCCTAAAAAAAAAAAAAAAAAAAAAAAAAAAAAAATTTTTAAATTATTTTAGAAACTTTAGAATATTATTAACGTATAAATCTAAAAAGTGAACATAAATTATTAGTATAAAAAATTTTATATTTTTTCTTAATTTTTTTTTTTTTCTAACCTTATCATTTTGTTCAATTTTCATAGTTCGTGATGGGCATGATAAGATAAATAACTTTTTAGACTTACTAAATAAAGGTGAAATATTTAAGTATCGAAGTATTCCAATACATAAACATTGTTTATTATGTAAAAAATAGGAAAAACATTTATAAAAACTCTTTTTGTAAAAATAAGATGGAATTGGAACCAAATAAACTGATCCGGTGCTAAGATTTAAATTTTCATGAAATGTTTTTATATTTTTAGAATATTCATTTATATCAATACCTATTAATGAATATATGACTGAGTATTCAATTGCGTATTTACTTATTGGTAGTGAAAATGAAACTAAATTATGTAACATTTCATCAACAAATATATTTGCAGATACTAATTCTAATGTATAAATATACTCACCACAGTTTTCCCATATTTTATTCATTTTTTCATTATCATTATAATTTTCATAAGATAAGTTTATACTTCCATCTATATATTCTAAGCTCTCTGAATTTTTAATTAAACATATTATATAAGGATTTTTATTAACATTAAAAATGTCATAATTGCTTTTTTTACTTTCTTTTTGTAAAGAACTATTGGATGAATAATAATTAGAGGAGGATGTGTTTTCTTTTATTAAGATATTCATATAAGAATGGTCCATTTCATTTATATCAAAATTCTTTTCTGTTAAAAAAAAAATATCATTAATTTTTCTATCTCTAAATTCATTTTTGAATATTTTTTTTAATAAATCAGTATAATTATTTCTATTTTTTGATATATGGTGATACAATTGATATATTATATTCTTAATAATAATTACTTCATTATCTAATCTATAAGCATCCTTATCAATATATAAACTATGATTAGCATTTAATATAATTATTCTTTTAGCATAAAAAACTCCAGCTTGTATTAAATTAGTACTATTTAATGCTGATCCTCTAATAAAGGCTATATTATTTGAATAATCAAAAAGATCATTAACATAATTAAATTTAGGGATGTGCAGAGATAATATGATGACATTATATTTTATGCTAGCATAATTTTTTTTTTTTTTTTTTTTGAAATTAATTGAATTGTATAAATTAATTTTTAAATACTTAAAGAGTAGGTGAATATTACTAGGCCAACCGCACACTAACAATAAGGGCTTTTTTTTATCAATAAAAATGTCTTGATATGCAGAAATATAATTATTTATTTCATAAATACCTAAAACAAAATTATAAGGTAAGCTCTTTTTTTTTTTGATTTTTTTTTGATTACTAGAGTTATCAGTGTTATATGATTTCTTTAAATTGATATCGTATGAAAAGTTATCAGTACTTATAGATGAATTATCAGAATATGAAGAACTTTCATTACACGTTAGAACAATTTTTATTTCTGCATTTTCATTCATTTCATCCTTATTTAAAAAATTTTTATGATTTTTATTATTAACATTCTTAGAAATGGAATTATACTTTTCTTGAATTCTCATATTATTATATTCATATACATTTTTAGAAATATTTTTTATAGAAGATAATTTTATTAAATTATCTAAACTGGTGGTTAGGATAATACCTGAAAAGGCTGTTGTATAATAATATTTATTTTCTTCCCCTATTATGTAATTTATAGGGTTTAAAAAAATTTCTTTATTAATAGTTATAATACCTATAAGAAATGCACTATGCTTTTGATATAAATATTCTGATGCAGTTTGAAATAAAAACCCCCTCATGCATTCAGGAAATTGAAATCTATATATATTATATTTTAACCCTTCTAAATAATAATACATATTTAAACTAACCTTTTCTAACATATAGTAATAATTTTTATAATTCATGTAATGGTAGCCATTATAACCTTCAACTGAATTTAAGAGAAACATATTATTATTATTTTCATTATTATTATCATTATTTTTTAAAAAAGAATGATATGGATCATTATGATTGACTGCATTGTTATATGTATTTTCTGTTGAATTATTTTTCCTATTATTTTTCTCAATAGAAGGAGATATTTTATTTGTGTAATTTTTATTTGTAGTTTTATTAGGATAATTATTTCTTTCATTACAATAAACATCACTATTATCACTGTTATTATTTTTGTCATCATTATAACTATATTTCTTGTTTATATTTTGTTTTTTCCTGTTATTATGGTTATTGTCCTTATTATCATTATTATTGCTATTATTTGTAATTTTATTATTTTTATTTTTTGAATTACTCATTTTTTTTTGTTTATTTTTGTTTCTTTTAAAAATGGAAAAAAAATTAGAAAATTTATTTTCAGAACTTGATAATTTACTCATTTTTTGGGTTTTTATATTATTACTACTCAATTTTTCCTTATTTATCTTCTTTAGAATACCACTATACATTAAAAGTTTTAAGTCAATAATATATTTTTTTAAGCTATTAACTGCTTTAGGTTTATAAAAAAAATTAATAATAAGAAAAAATAGGCCTTTACAATTAACACTTTTAGCTATCAATGCATATTTTAGTTCTTCAATACTAAGGTAATTATAAACATTCATAGATTTAATTAAATCTTTGTATGTATTGTTTGATAATTGAAGAGTAATTGGTATTAGAGAATTACAAATATTATATGTGCCAATAAACCTTAGAAGACATTGTTGGTCATCTTTTTCTGTAATAAAATGAGAGTTATTAATATTGATATTCATTTCTAAATTAAGCATATTATTCCTATTTATCTCACTCTTATATTCTGAATAAATATCATTAAAGTTCCATTTGGATGCATTTTCTTTTTTGAACTTATTTATAATTCGATTATGTAAAATATTATTAGAACTAATTATTTGGCTTTGTTCACGCATACTAAAATTTAAATTACTACTTGATAAAAAAATTTGTTGGTATAATAATGTATACTTTTCACAGTCAACATTATTTAATATATAAAGAGCTCTTGCATTTATAACAGCATCATATATAACGCTGGGACAAATAAAACATTCATTACCCCCACTTATGCATAACTTTATATTTGTATTTTTAACAATACTACCATATACATAACGATAAATGATAACAGGAAGAGGAGTAAATAAAAAGATGGATTCAACTGAATTTGGAAAACTATTATATATACCTTTACAGATATATAACAATTGAATGGGGCTAACTGGACCTAGAATTAAAATATAATCATCATCTTGCTTTGGTATTATACCCATAACAGTTTTCGGGCTAAACATAGCTTCTTTTAATCTTTTAAATTGAGCAGCTACAAAACTTATACAAGTAATAATTATGAACATTGTTAAGAATTTTCCTGCTTTTGTTACAGGTGTGTAATCTCCATATCCAACAGTAGACATAGTAATAACCCCAAAATAGACAAAATCTAATGGTTTTACAAAATCCCTTTCTATATCAGGTGCTTCTAATATATACATAATTCCTGAAAATGTAAATAAAATAGCTAGCGCTAAAATAATTATTCCAATAATAATTATTTTAACATCATTTAGCCAAAAAAAGCAAGAACTTATAGTACTTTCTGCTCTTACCAATCTTAAGAATCTTAAAGGTCCTAATATTAAAAACCAATAATTTTTATTAAAATAACTTGGGAAAAAAAAATTCATCACCAAAGAAGATACAGGAGTAGTTATAAAGTCAATGAGTGAAAAAAATGAAAATATATATTTTAATTTATTATTAGAAAAATATAACCCAACAAAATAATCAAAAACACCACACCACTGAAATGTACATTCGATATAACCATATATAGATGGAACATTTTTCATATCCCATTCAGTTATTTTAAAATTTTTTGGTTTTCTTTCCATGTAGCTTGCTGCCCATATCCATATAATACACCATAATACAATTCTTATTAATATGGCAACTATCCATATTGGTTGATAAGATACATAATGAATAAATCTATGCTTTGTATATATATATAAACCCCTAAAAAATAAGAATATATTATTGGAGGATTTAGGAGATTTCATATTATAATAAATAAAAAAATGTAACAAATTTTTTATTTTATTGAAGCATTTTATATTATTCAAAGAATTTTTTTTTTTTTTTTTTTTTTTTTTTTTTTTATGAAATAATATGGCATTTTTTGTTGCGTAAGGGTTATGACCCATATAATTATTGCGAGATTTTTTTTCATTATTTATCATTTCTTGTTCATATTTTTCTTTTTCAGGTTTTTCATTAAAATAAATATTTTTATATGATATATTATCAAATTCTTCATCAGAGGAAGAATAATCAGATGAAAAAGAAGCTAACTCCTTTGGATGAGCTTTTAAAATTTCAGTAAATAAATTGTTTTTGTGTGCAGAAGCAAATGTTAACGGTATATATTTATTATATATTGTTGATTTCCTAGTTTGTAATTTATTATTATTTCTTATAAATTTATTAGAAGTTTGATCTAAAAATAACTTTAAATTATCCAAACTTGCAGAATCTTTTATTATCATATTATTATTTTTATTCAGACCCATGCTGAAACTAAGAGACTTTGTTAATTTAAAACTTTTTTTATTAGATTTTCTCATATTTTTCTTTATCCATACATTGCAATCATCTAAATAAATACTTTTTCTTTTATAGTTATTTATATAATCATTTCTATGGATATTTTTTTTTTCTTTATAAGTTTCATCTAACTCGTCTGCTTTATTGGTACTACATATATTTAACTTTTTATTTTCTTTTATTCTTTTTTTATCTTTATAAAAATTTTCATAATCATCTTTTTTCTTTTTATCTTTTTTCTTGGACTTATATGTGGAAAGGAAAGTTATAAAACTATTTCTTTTTAAAAGAGAATTTCTACCTACACATTTATTTATATTCATAGAAGAATATGAGTTCCATTTATTTCCTTTTTCTGCTGAATTAGTTGTTTCTTTATCACTATTTGATAAATTATCATAATAAAGTGGTCTATACTGATGAGAATACTTATTTACATTTCTAGCTCTCATAAAAATATTTTTTAAATAACGATAAAAAAAAGGAAATTGTAATAAAATGTAAGAAATTAACATACTACCTAATTCAAGAACTAAAATGTATAAAATAATTATTGGACCATAATTAATAGAAATATCAATAGATGCATAAAGAATTAATATTACAATAAATAAGCATAACAATGATGTAAATATTTTGTAAATATAATTTTGTATCCTGAATAATCTTATCTTTTTTTCTTTTCTTTTTTTTTTATAACTATTTATATTACTACTAAAGTTATTATCATAAACAATTTTTATATTTTCTTCATCAAAATTATTATTGTTGTGATCATCATTTAAATATATTTTTCCCCCTTTATTAAAAGAATTATTGATAGAATAATCTATATCTTTAATCTTTTCATTTTCTTTAAAATATTTAGAATTAGAAGATACACTATGTTGCTTTTTCATAATATCATTTATTTTATTATTTATAATTTTAATATTTTTTTTTATATGGTTTTCTTTAGAGACACTCTGTTTTTGTTCTTTACTTTTTTCTATGTTATTTTTTATTTCTTTTTTATCATTTTTAATTTTATCATTTTTGTAAATTTCTTTATTTTTTCTGTTTTTGGTTATCATTTTATTTATTCACTAAATGATTTTAAATATATACATGCATATGAATATATACATGCACATATATATATATATACATATATATTTATATTTATATATATTTATATAAATATATTTTTGAAAAGTGCTATTCTTTTAAATATTTCTTGTGCATAAATGTAAACAATATGCATACATATTTACACTTCATATTTTTACATTTGACATAATTTTTATTTTAAGAATATTTCTTTTATTTAATTTCATTTTAGCATTATGTTAGGTTATTATATATATATATATTTGTAATTAAGCATACTTTTTTTTTTTTTTTTTTTTTTTTTTTTTAACAGTAGCTTTTTTAGTAAATTTAAATGCTTTATATTTTAAGAGAAAGTTCATTTATTAAAAA